TATGTAGAGTACTAACATAACAGGGAAATTTTTATTTGGGATATAGCTCTTCAGAGAGCCCGACAACGACCGTCACCATGACTGTAATAAGTGGATACGAGGAATGCGAGGAAACACTCTCATGCAGCCAGACTATCACACGATGCACTTACGAAACAGCACGTTACAATAGTGACATTCTAGCATACGTTACAGGAAATGCTCTTCGTCCATCTGCCCTGTGAAACCGATTATATGGAACTATATGACTCTTGGTGATTTGCTGGTAGTTGTAAGCCTGCTGAAAAAACAAATGGAATCTATGGGGTTTCTTCATGCTAACATGAGCTCTTTTGAGCAAACTTCGATGATTTTCACTATCGAACCACTTACATGTTCACAATATTTTGCAGAACTGCACAATTACCTTTCTAGCATCTTAAAAATAGCCTTTCAGTGATGTGTATCAGCCCATAGTCTCAAAACCAACGTGTTTCAAACAGTTGTTTTCATCTACATTCGTCACCTCTCTGTAGAAAGTTTACGCTAATAACACGACCCTATCAAACATACCATATCCGGTTCCTCTCACTGCCCCACTAATTACGTAAATATTACGACACTTATTAAAATATTTTTCAATTCCTATCGTCTACCAGTTTCTTCAACAGGAGCAGCATCAGTCTAACGGTCGTGCGATGTGCAATATCCTATACTTTAAGAATTATTTACTTCTCAGCAGTACCAAAATGATCCAGCTGTATGCCAAACATAGTTTGTTGATCGACCTTCCACTTTGTAGTAGGGTGATTGTCGCCTTCCGGTCGGCTGACTGCATCTGAACATTTTTATGCTAGTTTCAAGCTAGTTTCTGTTAATACTACGGACGTGTATATTGTTCGAGTTAACACTGCGACGCTGTTTTGCATCCTTGCAACTCACTGGTTAAATGCCATGGAGCCCTCGCCTACTTAAACGGCCTCACAAGCCTGTATCAGGCAAAAGAACGGTGCGACTTTGTCCTCTAACCCGGTCTTATAGTAGGCATGACTTATTCGGCGCAGACCAACTCCCGCTGATTTTCAGTCATAATAATTCTCTGGTTCACTGATTTCAAGAACTCATTTCGGTTCCGGATCGACCTCAATGGCCAATGTGTTGTTGTCCTCGAATCATCTACCATCGCAAACGTTGTTTGGCTGAAACACTGCCAGCAAGACTGAAGACGTTGTCATCGATTCTGTGTGGTGTTTCAGCGACTGCATTAGTGGCAAATGCCATATTGAATATTATTTGGCTACCGCACGGTTGGTCAGATGGAGAAGATACCGCTGTCCCTATTAAGATCGGAAGAAAACAGGCTGGAAGATGTATTACCGGGTGCTGGCTGCCTCCTGAACAAAGAATGACGGCTGTTGCGCTACACGGACAGAAGGTCCAGATGAAACTTGAAGGGTGTCGTCTTGGAAAGCGATAGCGGAAGACTTGAAAACTTGAAAGCTGAGAGCTTGAAACATGGCAATGTTCGCTCGATGTTAATGATTAAAACCTGGAAATCAGGCGCTGTAACAAATCTTTACATTCCAGTCGTCATCTTTCTGAAGGCAAAATAGCAACTGTCATTCTGTCACGCCAGAAATGTTCCTCGTACTTCAAACTCATGGCACTATAGATTCATCATAACCCTATTGCAAAGAGCCGACAAAGTACGATGAACTGCATATTGTTGAACCGCCACTTAGTCGTGAAGGCTTATTATGAACCTCGAAATGATCTCTACGCTTCCGGTCCGGTCTTCATGAAGGGTGCCCAAACTACATTCCCAGGAGGAAGCATCGAGGTCACCGACAGTTCCCTCAAGAAAATATAATTAAATGATTTTATCGCTTCATCTACCCACTGACTAGAGGATGATGATCTATGAGGGAAGATGATTCGTGAATGACTGCCGTTAGACCATGGTGAGAGTGCGGCATAAGTCCTGTTTTGAGGTAAGCAATTCATGGTCGTAACATTGCTCAAACGGTACGTTCATGTCGTCATCCGTTTAATCAGAGAGTGACAGCTGCCATTTGTCGAGGTTACAATTATTTGTAAAACTTTCAGTCGCTCGTGGCATCCTGAAAAAAAACAACGCTTTCGGAATTT